GTGTTAATATTCAGACTTCTTATTGAAAGTTATATTTAAATTCCTGACATTTTATTGATTTTCTACTTTGTGGCATTGTGTTGGCCCTCTTTTCTGAACAGCGGTCTTAGCATCATTTCTTCCTCTAGCCTCTTGGCTTTATTTATTTTTTTACTTCAGCACAAACTGATCTTTACATTATGTAATGCAAGCAGACTTCATTGTGAGAAATTCTTTAGAATGACGTAAACAGGGATAGCTTTTCTGTCTTGATTGTAATAAATAGTGTTTTTCATATACACATTAACATTGTTCAGCAGCTCTTATTTTCCAAACATGGAATACAACTTTTCAAGACATCCTGGCATTTTTTCCATTGAAAATACAGGAGATGTGCTCATGGTCATGTCTTCATTTGTGACTTCATCCTTCCTCTCACACCTTCCAGTACACTTTCTTTATTCTGCATATTCACTGTATATCTATAATATGAAATGGGAAGTTTCTTCTCTGGTCTTCTTACCTGTGTTATACTCTATCCATTTTGGATCTTGATGAACATTTTTTTCCTTCTTTCAACAGAAGTCTGGGAACTTCTGTCCTATGATTTTATTGAGAATATTTTCTATGCATTTGACATGGAATTCTCATCATTGTTCTATGCTAAAAAACATAGACCTTTTTCTTATCTCCCCAAAACTTACATGTTCCATCCAACTGTTTAACAAATAGATCACTAATCATGACTGAATGATCTCAATACTCTGCCTTGTCTTCATGCCTTCACCTTCTGTCTTCTATATGATCTGCTCTATCTCTGATGCTTTCCACCAAAATTTGTATTTGACTTAATTGTGGAGGCCCACAGAGGTTTCCTAGTGAGGTCTGAGCTTGCTTTACCAGACAGGGCTGCATAAGGTGATGGCTTAACCACAGGCATGGTTACCAGGTGTTTGTAAGGGTCTGCACTTGACTGTGCGGTATGCTTTGATCTAAAAAGAGGGGGGGGGTCTTAAGTTGCACTGCCTGTTGACATTGTTTAAAAGAAACATTTTGAGTAGATAGAAGGGGTCATTGAGTATTGATCCGGGTCTCCCAAAACTATTCTGTGTTTCTGTTTTTTCTCTCATTAGGATGTTCTCTCTTCCTACCTAATATTTCTTATCATTTTCTCCTTAATAGTACCCAGGAAAAGATGGGACTAGGCTCCTAACAATTAATGAAACATTCATTGTTGTTGTATATCTATCTCTTTATCAAATTTCATCTGAATATCCAGATTCAATTTCCATATTTCTTACAGCTTTTCATGTTTTCTTGGGATTAATTCAGGAGATAGGCATGTGTTTATTGAATTCTTTAAACATAATTCATAGTCACTTTGATTTCTTATCCTGTGTTTTGTACATTCCTTTTATTTGTGGTTACTCTGTGACTGAAGGAAAGTTTATGTAGTTTTTCATGTTACTTATGCCTTACAACTAAGAAATGTCCATCTGTGGTTACATCAATGGCTACATTTTGTTATTTTTTTTAATTCAGGTCACCTTCTATATA